GAGCATCATAAGGGTAAATGTGGGTCTTTAGGGGTAAATGCAATGCTGGGGATTAGGATAAGAATTAGTTAAAGGCTCTGAAGTTTGGAAGGTTTATGTACAGAAGTACCTTAAACAAAAGGATCAAATAGCCTGCCCTCCATAGCCTTCCTGAACCAATCTACACTTAAACCACAAGGCAACGTAATAAAGCATTTGTGACACTTCTCTGATGGTATGGATGCATTAAAAAGTGATGTGCCACATTCATGGAAGCCGTGCAACAGGTTTTTTTTTTGCTATTTCATACACGTGCAAGAAATTCAGGTAGTTCTTATGTGCAACGCTTTTACATTCTCCAGCTATGGCTGTCACTTATTCATCTCATCATGCGTTCCTGGCTTTTTCTATTTTATGAGTTACATGAATCTGACGCCATTGCAGCATTTGTTGCACGGACGAGATTTCTAATGAATGCCTACGACTGGGGTCTGATCTATTGTTTGCAGCCTCTCCAGCAGTAATCTTCTTTAGTGCTGGCGGTAAACACTAAAGCTACAAACCTTCATAGATTTGTACATTACTTGGGATTAAAATTCTGTGCTGTCTTTAGGATGTTATATATATTGATTGTCCACTAAGAAGTGATCTGATTTTGTATCTCACACTTCCTGCAGCCTTGTGAAAACAGCAGGTGCCCACCAGCAGACTGTAAAGATGATGAGCAAGTAGTAGAGGTGGCAGACAGAGAGAATCCTTGCTGTCCCTCATACATATGTAGTAAGTACATCAAACACTGCTTTTCAGGGATGATAAAAATGATGTAAATTGCCTACATTGCAGGTGTTTAAATCTCAGGAAATGTTTGCAAAAAGACATTTACTATATTATATAGAATGTTAATAATCTATTTACATACCCAACAGGTCTTAAACAGCTTCAGCCTTTGTTGCTCTCTTATGTGCTCATGCTGTTTCCTCTCATGAGTAGAGTGAAGGTGTAGTTTTCTGCACCATCCATGACACAGCTAGAAAAAAATGGGTGGGACATGGTGTAAAGATGGCAGATGTTCTGTCAATAGGACTCCAGCACCTGAACCTGACACAGCAGTGGCCATTGCTTTTGTGCCACGGTGTCTAACTCTACAGATGCAGTCAGGCAGCTCACATGCGGCAGTGCTCACATAAAAAAAAATGTCCCAGAACATGCAACTGGTAATAGTGTTAATAGTATAGTTTCCTGTTTAATGTGAAATGTATGGTTTTTTTTACAGTTCCTCCAACTCCTATATTCACAACTCCTGTAAGTACCTTTATGTCTGCAGTTATATCTCACCTGTTTATATTAGGAGAAACACTAATAGTTATATGTAACAATAAATATTTGTTCTTTGTATCTTTTCCAGAAAAAATGTGATGGTGTTACATGCACAGTGCCTGATTGCTCACGGAATGGAGAAAGACCAGTCCCTGTTGCCTCCTCTGACCCTTGCTGTCTAGCATACAAATGTCGTAAGTGTGTTTATGAACCTCTTTTGGAGCAAATAAAAGGATGATGTAATGGTTTAAAGTTTTTTAAGTTATTATGTTTTTAAGCTGATGTTTTATATCTACTTTTAATATTTAAATAAGTCTTTACATTGAGAATGATACATCCAGTGCCAGTGCCACAGACCACTATGGGTTGCTTAAAGAGAATCTGTTTGCCTTCAGACTCTCTCTGATTTAAACTGCTTAGTGCCCCTTCTGAAGAGCGGGCAAAAAGGGAAGAGCAAGGGACAAGTCACTCTTTTGGGTGGAATTTTTATCTAAAGTGTCTCCATCATTGTGAAGCAAACAATAAACTACAAAGAGTAAAGATAGCAAAGTTAGTAATTTGGTTGTTTTACTAAAGGGGTACAGTATTTTCACCTTATCACTCCCATTAGTAAGATAATTAATAATCATTGAATCAAATTCAGATTTTTCTTTAAAATTTCCTAACGATTGTACATTAGGGGAAATTCAAAATGACCATACTGTAGCTGTAGCATACGCATTAAGCTAAGTGACGTTCAGTTTGACCGAACTGATAAAATGATGCATCTTTGTCTAAGTAATAAAACTGTTTTTTCACAGAATGTGATCCATGCCCACCAGCTCCTTATTGTGGTGATCAGCAGCCAATTGTGTCCTTCAACCTGGAAGCAGAGTGCTGTCCAATATATGAATGCCGTAAGTATTCATACACATCAATATTTTCCACACTTAAAGACGGCCTCCAGGAAAGGCCATTTGAGTCCATACTGTCCCTTTCAAAAATCCCACTGCAATAGCAGAGAAACAACAACTTTCTTGTGCAAAAATAAAGCACTCATTGCCTGCCCTCATGCTTAAGTAATGTTCATATAAAATAATATAAAAAGCTGCCAAGCTTTTATGTCTTCTTGTCAACATTTGTTGTCCTAAGGTGCAGGTCTAAGTAATGCAAAAAAATCATAAGAAATATGAAATTTTGCCTCCTATCTCATGTGACTTTGCTTGCAAACATCTGCACTGAAGCACCAACAGAAATACACTTCACTGAGGAATGTCATAATTTACATTTTTTCAGTCTTTTATCTGCCATGTTTTGGAATGCTATTAGTAAGTTACTGACTACTGACAGCTAATTATTGTAATTGTGAGGTTTTCCAGAAGAACCTCAATATTCAGGAGTTGGGTAGATCTCAGCGGGTAGATTAGGAATATATGCAACATGCACTCCAGCAAGGACATTCAGCTTACATGCATGTCACTAGGATAGAAAATGAGGAGCGATCCCATTGATAAAAAAAACACTGGAATCATAACCTGACAGAGGATCCAACTCCCTTTCCAACTCCAAGTCCAAAAAAACAAACGGGAGTTCCACTTTAATAATGTATGTGTATTTGTGAAAATAGCTCATTAAATATATAAACTAGTTTTTTTAGGTGCCATCATCTATCATATTTATTTGTGTTCATCATAAAAACGTAATTAAAACATTCCAAAATGTTAATTTTATACACTACCGATTTGTACAATACCTCCTATGGCCACATATATATAGATATATATCTATATATATAAAAAAAATATGGCAATAAATTAATAGTTCCTCGGTTCTAACTATAAAAAAGTCATCCAAATTGATGTTTCCAAGGTTCTGAATTGCATTCAAGTTGATCACTTGTGGCTCATATCGACACATTTGGCACTGTGATCCTTCAAGAATGGAAGTATGTTCTAGTATGATTATGACCCCTTTCACAGTGATCTGTATGCGTCCAGTTATGAGGAGTGCACTGGGAATGGGAGACATCACACACAAGAACCGCCAGTGATAAGTTTGCTTCCTCATACCTTGTCTGGGGATCTCACTGCGGCCCCCACCACCCTGTTGGGGGGAGGGCCTCCTCATTACTGGGGGCACACAGATCACTGTGAGAGGTGTCAATTTCATACTAAAACATACCTCCATTCTTAAAGAATCAAAGCGTGAAACACATCGATATGAGCGATAACAAGTGATCTACTTGGATGAAAGTCAGAACATTGGAAGCATCAGTTTGGATGACTGTGTTGTTAGCACTGAGGAACTGTTAATTTATTGACAACATTATATATATGTGACCATAGAAGGTATTGTACAAGTCGGTATTGTATAAAATAAACATTTTGGAATGTTTTTGATTAAGTTTTTATGATGAACACAAATAAACTGGTAAGTTTTTTTTAATTAAAACTCAGATTGTTTTAGTTCAATGGCACCTTAAAAAACAAATTATATATTTAATGTGTTTCAGTTCCTAAAAGTGATGTGGTGCTTTAATCACATAGCAGCCCAGACCACTTTTTTAACTTGTATGTTTGTGGAAATAGGGAAATGTGAATATATATGACTAACATATTCTTCTTTACTTTTCAGCACCACTACTACAAACACCTGAACCTACTACCCCAGTAAGTCAATCAAAATGTAATACTGTATTGGTATGCATAACAGTTCAGTCCTAAATTTATGAGACAAGAAAACTAATAATACACAACCACTGTAAGTAGAGCATGTAAATGCAATGAGTAGAGTTGACTGGACCGTAACTATATAGGAATAAAAACCTTGCACAATAGTTTGTTCCTTTAGAATTTCACATGTTTTATTTGCCGCATAGCCTCTTCTTCCATGTGTCTGTGGTCACATCACAGACAAGATATAGTTGCATAAAGAGGCCAGCAATACAGCCTACATACAGTACTATACATTTTGCCGTACAGATTCCTATACTATAGAGGCTGTGCTCAAAAAAAGGCAAGTATGGGTAAATGACTAGTCACCAATATTGCAAGTAGGTTTCTTGCAGCTTATTTTTTCCTCATTACTGACACTGAGATAGTGTGTCCCTGTGTGGAGGTGGCCATTTTAGTATAGAAATTGGGCTTTGCTTACTCATGTCAAAGCTGCCCCTCTCACTGGTGATCTGATAACTGGTAGGGCAATGGTCAGTAAGCAGCAGGAGAGGTGAAGTAATCATAGATCTACAGAATGAATGAATGAAGCAGAAGCAGGGAAATACTTGCACTGCAGGTCATCAGGTACAGCTCCCTCTCTAGAAAGGAGAACAGAGCAGTGAGCAACAAATTCATGATGAACTGTCAGAAGTACAGTAGTACCAAATCTCATGAGACTACCAGTCAGGGACAGCAGTGCCTTAGATGATCTCACACTGCAGATTTACAGCTGCGGGGCTACAAAACTGCATTGCTTAGAATCCGTCACATGTCAGGAAGTGCACTCTACTAGATATCCCTTATAAGAGAGCAAATCTTTTTGTGTCCAGATTTACTTTAATAATGTATCCTCCTTTTAAAGTGATTAAAACTAGGTAGAAGAAAATATCAGTTTTGAATGGACTACCCTTTCACTTACTAACAACTAGTTTTACTATCAATATTGTAATTAGATGACTTGACATGAATATTTATGCACTTACACATAATTACATTTTTTTTTTCCAAAAGCCACCATGCTTGGATATCCTTTGTGAGTCTGTGTCTTGTGAGAAGACGGGTGCGGACCCAGTGGTGGTTGAACCTTCCTCTGCTACTCGCTGCTGTCCAGTTGTTGAGTGCAGTAAGTTGAATCTTTTCTATGCCATCAATTCTTTTAAAACTGCGTTGTTTTTTGTCACACTTTTAATTGTACTGCAAACTACAACAGGGCTGTCTTAAAACAGAGGATATTTACATTCATCACAAAAAATTACTAAAATAAAAGGGGGTTTATTCTCAATTTAAGCATGGTGGGCGGAGACATGAAAATCATCCTTTATTCAGCTGGGCTAACTGTGCTTGTGGATAAGGCATAATATACATCCGATCTGCCTACTTTTATTATAGACCAGTTAGCCATCATCAGTGCAGTGTATGGAAGCCACGGCTTCTCTGAAGTAACACTTTGGAGACAATTAAACGTTTAACCCACAAAGGTAATGGTGAGGAGGACTAAAAAGAACCAAAAATCTCTTCACAGAGAAATTAGTTTTGGGTTCCTCAAAGCCCATCTCACCATAACTTGTCTTGATATACATTGCCTTCAATCTTGGACAAACATTTTCTGGTTCACTGAATGCGGACTTACTGTTTAAGATTTTGTCATGACTATTGACTTCCATATTCTATTGACTGTTTCTTCTCTTTACATCAGAATGCCAAAATGAATGCTACATTCCAACATGTGATGGTGACAGACCACCACTGCTGCTTGGGAACCCTGAAACAGAGTGCTGCCCAGAATATGAATGTCGTAAGTAGTGTCATAGCGGCAGAGTAATTATGAGAAACCTTAGGAACTTTGTAGCAGACAAACTGAATGATAAACTGTATTTGCTACACTTAGAAACCAAAGCTTTAATTTTTCCAGTGCAGATTTCACAAATGACAACATAAATTCTGATTACAAATGATCATTATTAGTTAAACTTGTGAGTGCGAAAGCCTGCCAATAAACCATAATTATGCCTGCACGGGTAAAGAAGAATGAAAATATCAGGTTCTCAGCTGCTCCCTAAGGCCATGGGTCCTGCAGTATTCACTTCTTCTGCTACCTCTGTTTGTACACCATTGCCACTGCTATTAAAAAAGATCATCATGGCATCAAGTCAATTGAATGTTATTAGTTGAATGTTAGAATTCTTTTTCTAAAATACTGACGTCTCGCATCAATCAGATCCTTGGGCAACTGAACAAGAAAGACCAGGTTGGTTTCACCCCTCATAGAGAAGCCAGTGATAGCGTTAGCCGGATCTTACACCTAATCCACCTAGTCAACGCTTGATCCCATGAGATTATGCTATTGTCATTGGCTATTGTGAAGGCTTTTGATATGCTGTTGTGGCCATATTTATTTGAAGTCCTTGACTTTTGGGGCTTTGGTCCCCACTTTATGTCCTTGGTCAAATCCCTCTATTCGTCACCCCATGCTAAACTTAAATATTGTGGTTTTGAATCCTCTATCTTCCCCACAGCCCGAGGCACCCGCCAGGTTTGCCCTCTCTCACCCATTTTGTTTGTCCCGGCCTTGAAGCCTCCGGCCAAATGTATCAAATCCCATCCAAACATACATGGCATTGAGATTGCAGGTGTGCACCACAAATTCTCCCAGTGGGACTCGGTGGCAGAGGCATAGCCAGGAGGTCCAAAGGGTTGATCTTTTGCCTTGATTGCCATATGATATGACATATGAATGCCTTTGAATGTGCAAATGTAAATTCAGATCTCTTGTCAGAAAGCTCACACCTGCCCATGTGACCTCCATCTGAAATCTTTTGAGGCCTTATTTCAGTAAGGGAGCGCAAAGCAGATTAGCATATGGCAACAAATCAGATGTTAGTTTACTAAAGTCAGATCACCAAAATTGAATTGTGATTGCTTATTGTAGTACCAACTGTAGTGTAGTGAACTTTGCTTTATTCAGTAAACCGTTGTTTTGCTTTGGTTGAATTCTATGATGCTGATTTAAGTACTAACATGATATTTTTATATTTTTCAGCACCTCCAACTTCAACTCCAACTCCTGTAAGTTTTCACCAGTTAATAGACTTCTTAGCCATGTCTACCCAAAGCTTCCCATACTAATAATTTTTTTCAAGGTTTCCTCCAATGGCAAGATATCTCCACCCTAGTTTCTGGCATCGCCTCTGCATATAGCCATTTTAAAGCTGAAAATGGGTGTCATACTATCGGTGGAGATTCTGTAATATGAAATAAATGAGTAATTTGCATCCGACTATGTGTACATGGCACTAAAGTAATGGGTAAAGTAGTGAGGTGGGTTCAGGAACTAGGAAGAGATTATTATTTTCAGTGCTATATTTTTTGCCAATATGTATTGCACATAGATTACCTATTAAATAGGGCCTTCATTTTTATTGCAGCTTTTACTAGCACTAGCACTAATAAAAAGTGTAGGAAAGTTTTTCACCCACTCTGACACTGGGTTGAAAGTACTTGCAAAAAAATCATACATAAAAGTAGGAGGAACAACAGTGTTTGGCCACAAAGCGGGCCGTTCACAAGGATAATCACATACCCTTGTCATTCCTTACAATGAATGCAGGGCCTGGCAATAACTGTGTGGTTCTCTACCTTGCATACTGAGAACACGAACTAGAGCCAGGGCCACCATTAGAAATCATGGGACTCCGTACAGCCACCACTACAATGTATAAAGGAGACATGTTGATACATGATACTGAGAACACGAACTAGAGCCAGGGCCACCATTAGAAATCATGGGACTCCGTACAGCCACCACTACAATGTATAAAGGAGACATGTTGATACATGTTAGATCCCCCATCATACTGGTGCCTGCAGTCATCCCAGTACAGGGTGGATGGCCCTCCCATCCTCCCTTCAGTCTGGGCCTGATACTCACTTTTCCCTACCTCCTTTGCCTGCTCTCTTCTTGATAAAAGGTCCTGAAATGAAAGGACAGCGCCTTTGCCTGTTGCCAGCTTG